TCAAAAAAATACTTATGGCCCGGTTTCTAATTCTGACATCTGCCCCTACCCCTGGTTACGTGACCACATTTGCAGTGCTCAGCAACTGGCCCACATTTGTGGCCATTTCCAGCTCTTCATTTGTCCACATGACTGTAGTTTATGACATCTTTGCCATAAACCAACATTTACTTCTGCTTTCCAGCCAAAACCACTCCATTGAGAACAATGGGTTTTATTTAATGATCGCAGAATTTGCTTTATGACTGTGGCATTCACTGCAAAAAATATATATCATAAAATCATGTTTGGTCATGCAGTGACCTGCCTTATAATCATGGCTTATGGCCATCATTGTGGGGCTCAATTATGGTCATAACCCGAGAACTAAATTCTAATCCAATGCCAATTAGTTCAACTTCTTTCTCAGATGCTCTTTTTCTTTGCACGTTTTTTGTATTTTATTCTCCAAATCCTTGAGATTTTTTTTTGCCTTCCTACCGTGTTTCCCCGAAAATAAGACCCTGTCTTATATTTTTTGAACCCCGAAATAAGCCCTTGGCCTTATTTTCAGGAAGGTCTTATTATTTTGGGGCACATGGAGGAAACCAGAGGAAAAGGCAGGGACCGGCTGTGCATGCGTTTAAATATTTTCGGGGAGGGCTTATTTTCAGGGGGAGGCTTATTTTAGCGCATGCGCTCAAAAGCCCGATTGGGCTTATTATCAGAGGATGTCTTATTTTAGGGGAAACAGGGTAGTATTGCTTATAATGTTTATATCATTGTTGTAAATGGCAAAAGGTGCTAATGCTGATTGTTCTTCTCAATCTATATAAAGACTAGTAGAAGGAATTTCGTCAAATATTTTCCTCTGAAAATGGATTGAAATCTGCCTAGCCAGAGAGGATGCAGATCAACCTTATAGACAGGGGTGTCAAACTCAAGGCTGGATCCGGCCCACAGGGTGCTTAGATCTGGCTCGCTGGGCTGATCTCAAAAGAACAAAGGACTGGTTTGCGGTGCCTCTGCCAGTGAAAATGGACTTCAGGGGGGTAGTGAATGGCCCTTCAGGCTCTGTTTTCAGCTGTGATGGCCTCCTGCCAGTGAAAACGGACTTCAGGGGGATTGCTGCAGGAGGCCGTCCCAGCCAAAAAACGAAGCCTGGGGTGGCCACCCGGGCCACCCCAGGTGCCCCAGACACGAGTGACATTGAGCTGGCCATGCACATTCTGGGCACCTCCAAGTGGACATGACCCCCCCCCCCAAGGTCAAACACAACCCTGATGCGGCCCACAATGAAATCGAGTTTGACACCTGTGTTATAGAGGCTTGTACAATGAAAGGACATTCACTCCTTTATAGACTTTGGGCAACTTATAACAAGATACAAGAAAGAGCACCAAATTCCCCTTATGAAGATTTCACTGCAATTGTATTCTTTGAAATGAATGCATATAGGAAACGTTCTTTCCTGAATGAGAACTGGAAAGACAAAAGTGATTTGTTCTCTATATCACACTGATGAAGTACCTCAACATTTAATACAGAGGTTATTCATTTTCTTTCCCCCTTTAAGTTTTATGTGGCTAGTCATGGTTTCTGCATTGTGGGAAGAAATTACTCATTACTCTGAACAGCAATCCTGAGTTAAAAAGATACTTTTGTTTTCTTACTTTCCAAAGGCTGATAATATCAGAAAATAGGGTGAAAAAGTTTGTGAATACAAAGATTCGGAGGGTGTATTTACATACACATCATACTATATTCCCTTTCAGGTTTTTGCAAGGAACAAATGTAGTAAGTAGAAGAAATTCAAACAAGGGGATAAGAAAAAAGAAAAAGAAATCTAATTAAATGTCGTTAGTCTTACATTTTTCTCCTTTCATTTAGCATCTATTCATTCTTGAACTGTCTCTATATATTACAATACACAATTGTCAAATAGTCCCTTATCTTTGCATTAAACTTTGTTTAGGTTCCTTCTCATATATTCAACTATTATTTTTTATCTAAGAAAGTGGGCAGAAGTACACATTTTATAATTTTTTGACAAATACTTATTCCTAATAACATACCACCAACTGACTGTCTACCAGCATTTGGGTGTCAATTTTTTGCATCTACTTCCTTATATTAAGTAAACATTTTACCAAGAGTCACAAAGATACCTACTTTTCCTAATTTGTTACCGTGTATGTATAACTTGTAAATATTCATTCTACTTTTCAGATTCATCTCTTTGTTGCATCATACAATCCAACTAGTATTCACTGCAAATTGTTTAGGATCACAGCCAATTAAATAGTAACAGTCACAAAAGAAGCATACAACTCTCACATCCCCAACAACAGACCTCTAGGGTCAGATCAATTTATCCATAAAATATCAAAAAAGACATGACTTTCTAATATTCATAAATAAAGTTAGCATTAATATTTGTGATTTTGTAGATATACATCAATGTAATGATTCAGTGACATTGCGATTGCCAGGATTCAGCGACTTAATAATTATCTTGATAATACAAATCATAAAGTTCTGAAGCTCACCTTTCTCAGAAAGATGGATTAGCCCAGTTACCACATTAAACTAACAAAATCAGCACGCTTCATAAGATTTTGTAGAATCATTGTTCAAGAATACCCCAATGTTTCTCTATGCACCGAGGCTTTTAACACCACCTCCCACCAGCAACAACAACAAAACCCAGGCCAATTTTTAAGCATCTCACATCTAAAATTGGATCAGATGTCAACAACATGAAAGAATAATAAATGCTCTTTGTGTCAAGTTTCCGAAAGATGCCCTAATTAATTCATGAGCCATGATCCAAACTTCAAAGGAAATATAGTCATTTATTAGGAGCAACATTCCGGCAATACTCGGATGCAGTTAGAACTGATCCCACGTAGATTTACGTTCCCCTATGACCCTGTCTCTCCCCTCCTCTCTGGCCATGTTATAAATCACATTCTCCAATTAACCACTTTGGCTGGCTGTGAAATCTAACACCGTCCTTCTGATTGTGGTCAGGAAGATTGTATGGAATTCACTTCAGTTCTCCCTCCCTCCTGCTCATGGCAACTTGAAAGCTTTGCAAGTTGACACTTTGTGGATCTTAGTGCCCCAGAAACTCAGTTGGCTTCCTGTTTACTAGTGAGTTACCAGTGACTGAGGAATGTGGCAATGGAGAGTTTTCTGTTGGCATTCTATACTTATTGTTTTAATTCTTACCTTTTTGGGAAAACTTCCATGTTTAATTGGGTTGTGAAAAGTGATAGATAACCAGTTGGATGACATATCCTTAAGTGGTTGGATATATGCATATATATACTCAAAGTATATATTCTAAATATTAGATTTCTTACAGAATGTTAATATAAATTGAATATCTATAGGTAGTTCTCGACATATGACCACAACTGAACCCACCATTTCCATTGTTAAGTGAGGCTTGCGTGAATTTTTACAACCTTTCTTGCAACAGTTGTTAAGTGAATGCAACAACTACAGTTGTTAAGTTAGCAGCATAGTTTTATAAGTGAATCGGCCTTCCTCATTGACTTTGCTTGTCAGAAGGTTGCAAAAGGTAATCATATGATCTCATGACACTGCAATTGTCATAAATGTGAGCTAGTTGCCAAGTGTCCCAATTTTGATCACGTGACCATGGGAAGGCTGCAACAGTCGTAAGTGTGAAAACCGGTGGTAAGTCACTTTTTTCAGTGTTGTTGTGACTTGGAACAGTCACTAAATAAATGGCTGTAAGTCAAGGACTATCTGTATTTACCTTCTTTTAGGCCCTGGAGCATGACCAGTAGACACTTCTATAGGATAGTCAGCATAGCAATGTGCCTCGTGAATGATCTGCACAGGTCTTATCTATCATTCTATCTATCTATCTATCTATCTATCTATCTATCTATCTATCTATCCTCTTTCTTCCTCTCTCCCTCTCTCTCTCTCTCGTATGTGTGGGTCAGTAGTGGGTTTCAATTTTTTTTTACTACCAGTTCTGTGGGTGTGGCTTGGTGGGCGTGGCAGGGGAAGGATACTGCAAAATCTCCATTCCCACCCAACTCCAGGGGAATAATACTGTAAAATCTCCATTCCGTCCCCAATCCAGGGGAAGGTTACTGCAAAATCCCCATTTCTTCCCAATCATCTGGGAGTTGGGAGGCAGAGAATAGGTGGGGGTGGGGCCAGTCAGAATTTTACTACCAGCTCTCTGAACTACTCAAAATTTCTGCTACCGGTTCTCTAGAACTGGTCAGAATCTGCTGAAACCCACCTCTGGTGTGGGTTTATCTCTCTCTCTGTGTATATATATTGTCATTAGACACTTCTATAAAGGTAAAGGTTCCCCTCGCACATATGTGCTAGTCATTCCCGACTCTAGGGGGCGATGCTGAAGAACCAGCACTATCTGGAAACATCTCTGTGGTCATGTGGCCGGCATGACTAAATGTCAAAGGTGCACGGAACACTGTTACCTTCCCACCAAAGGTGGTCCCTATTTTCCTACTTGCATTTTTTACGTGCTTTCGAACTGCTAGGTTGGCAGAAGCTGGGACAAGTAATGGGAGCTCACCCCATTACCCGGCACTAGGGATTTGAATGCCTGAACTGCCGACCTTTCGATCGACAAGTTCAATGTCTTAGCCACTGCGCCACCGCATCCCTTAGACACTTCTATAGGATAGTAATATAGCAATGTGCCTCATGAATGATCTGCACAGGTCTAATATTAGACCTGTGCAGATCATTCATGAGGCATATTGCTATACTGACTATCCTATAGGAGTGTCTACTGGCCACACACACACACACACACACTCACACTCACACACAAACCCATTGAAAGTTATAAAAGAGATGAACGACTTCTGAATTCACCAACCGTGATAGAGAAAGGCATATGTCTTAACAAAACTCATATGTATTTCATCAACAAATGCAAACCATTAACTCTATACAAATCTGACCTCCTGCTGAAACCCAAGCATCATGATTTAAAGTACCTTCTTGATTGTATCCAGCATGGATCTCCCTCCTTGCCAGGGTTTTGAATTCTTCCTAATGCATGTCAAGCTAGCCATACTGTGCCACTTTCGGTCTTCCAGCTTCTTATGAAAAGCATTTGCCAGCAACAACACAGTATCGTATATGTAAAGGTTGGTAATCTGTCAAAGAGATTAAGAATTGATTATAAGTAACAAGCACCCACATGCTGGCATGCTGGAATTCAGAGGTACTTTGTCTCAGCTGTCACCACTCAAGCTTTCAGGAACTTAAATGTAATACCACCACAATAGATTGCCTCACATTTTACAAACCACTCGGGCCCAGAGGCTATTATGTGATTACTAGTTAATTCAGTTTGCATTTCATAAGTCGAGGCATGTTCCTGGCTGCAATTTGAAATGTTACATTTTTCCAATCCAAGGGTTATTTCAATGCATATCAAGGCTTTTATGATTGTTGTGGCCTGCTGGTGGCCAGTGGAGCTGGCAGCAGAGTCGGACAGTGAGAAGGTTGAGGAGGAACATGGGCCAGTCCTGGGGGCTGGGGAAAGTTCGGATGAGGGCCCTGCATCGGAGGCAGAGAGGGAGATAGACAGCAGTGAGGCAGAGGAACAGCTGGAGCCCGTTCCCAGTGTGTGCATGAACAGAGCTGCCAGAAGACAAGAACAACTCAGAAAACAAGGTCGACTTGGGAGTAAAGCCACATCTTGGAGATGATTGGCCCCTCCCATAGGAAACAAAAGAGGAGCGAACGGGGAGTGGCCTTTTGCAGGAAACAATTCGTTCGTTTGTTAATTTCAAGAGTGGAAAGTTCTGTTCGTGACTCTATGAGACTCTGTGACAAGTTTTGCCTTACACTGCGTTTGGAAACAAGTTACGTGGCAGCTTGCCAAGCAAGATAAAGGTGTGTTGATAAATATTCCTCTGAAAAACTGTTTGGACAAGCCTTGCTGACTGTGAATGAAAGTAATTCACAGTCGTGTAAATAAAAGAGGTTTTGCCAGGACGAAGACTCTGCTTCCTGCTTTTTAAGGGGGCCTAGGTCAGAACAATGGTGTCTTGATACGTGTCTGTATGCTCATGAATGAACAACTGCCGACAGCTTGTTCTCCAGGTATAAGTCCTAACTGCACCAGGACATTCTTCTGATTTCCAAATACAGTTAAGGAGGATGTATGACAAACTTCTACACTTCATCCTCTGTGAGTTTCATGTTTCAGATTAATATTCCTAACAGATACAGTATTTCTGTATTTTTTCTGTATTTCTGCTTTTGCTTAATGACTGCTGCAAAAAATGTGGAAACATTGGGTCTGGTTATGTGATGCCTCAACTTAGGAGCACAATTATAGTTGTCAGTTGAGCACTACCTGCATTTCTTCATTCAACATAAAAAAAAATTAGAGCCAAGAAATAGATATTTTAAGTCTTTATGTATATTGTAGATAAGCACTTGTGTCACTGTTAATCACCAGGAATTCATGTATGCTAATTTATTTTACATTAATTTTTATATTTCTATTTTTCCCCCTGTGACTTTAGAATACTGTATTAATCACAATAACCCCAAAGCGTATTATATTTTGGGAACTGGAATTCTGCTTCATATATTTATTGTGGTCATATGTAATCAAAAGTGGTTGCTTAATGTCCTGTATAATTCAGCAAAAGGCAATTGATTTAATGTGCATTTTTTTACCAGAGGTTTCAAAGTGGAAGAAAGAGGATAATGGAAAGAAATGAAATGGAATGGAATGGAATGGAATGGAATGGAATAGAATAGCCAATGAACTGACCAATTTTTATGTTTGCTTTTTCAAACACTTCAAGAGACAGACAGAGAGAGAGAGAGAAAAATATATATAGAATGATTCTTTTTTTAGTGTGGAAATTAGCCATGATTAAAGATAGGATTGGTAACAATCTCCTTTGGCTATGTTTGATTACATTGCTTGGGATTATACTGGTTTAGTTCACCATATGTCCCAGGTTTAGTTATCTCAGAGCACAACTGAACAGCTGAAACTACTATTAGCTGGACACGGTGATGATTTTGTCATATGTTGTCTATATTTACCATACTGAAAAGATCTGCCAGCAGAGTTAGTATTTCGATAGATAGATAGATAGATAGATAGATAGATAGATAGATAGATAGATAGATAGATATGGATATGGATATGGATATAGATATAGATATAGATATAGATATAGATATATAGATACTATCATAGCATAGTTATAAGTACTGAACATTCCAGAATTTAGAAGCAGACATAACAGATGCATAAGAGAGAAGAGAGAAATGAAATGGATACTTAAGATTGAATAGTTAGGGCAAAACAGATATGAAAAAGTGTTAGTGGAATCCCCCCAAATCTAAGATTATGTCTCAAACCTAGTCTAAACTTAAAACTAGGTTTACAGATTTGGCAAAAAGGATAATTAAATTCGGGATTTAGAATGAACAGAACAACCAAATAACAAGTTGGAAGACTTTGGAGGTCTTCTAATCCAACCCGTTCCCAAGTTCATGCTTCCCTTCATGTAGATGTAGTTCCATTAAGTACTACATGCTGAGTGTGTTTGTCATGCAGTTATGAATCCATCTGGTGATGTTGCTGTCTACTCCACATGTTTCTGTCTTATCAAGAAGCAGGTTGTGAAGACAAGTATTAATTTATTTCCTTCCTTCCTCCCTCCCTCCCTCCCTCCCTTTCTTCCCTCCCTCACTTCTTCCTTCTTTCCTTCCTTCCTTCCTTCCTTCCTTCCTTCCTTTCCTTCCTTCCTTCCTTCCTTCCTTCCTTCCTTCCTTCCTTCCTTCCATGATGTTGGTCATAAAACATCAAAAGTATTTTTGAAAACTAGTTAGGAATTTTGATACTCCTCTTTTTGCAAGAAACTTTTATCATCCTTTGATTTGAGGCAGTGCAGCTGGATAAGATTGGAATAATGGCATTCCAAGACTTTCTGTCCATATGTCATGTTATGTATCACCATCTATTACATTTTGCATTCAACAAATTTCCATTTGGGAATTTCTGGCAGGACTGTCCATCTATAATGAGCTGATCATATCTATTCTTGATTACTATATAAAGCAAAGTATTTAAGTTATACAATAACTCTGGATGTTGCATTTCATAGCTTATGTAAAAATAAGTAAAATTAAAAATTAAAATATTTAAAATAGTGTAGTAAAAACATATCTAACACCTTAAAATATCCTTAAAATCTATAAATTCAGAGAGTTAACTGTCAACCATTGATTGATATTGTTAACCCCTTTTTCAGGAAAACAAGTTTGAGATGACTGATATAAGTGGACATGGTGTGCAAAACTCCTTTTGGTGTGCAGAAAAAGAAGAAAAGCATTTTTTAAAAATACATGACTTCAGAGTTTCTTTTGTTTTCTTTTGGAATTTTCACCTTGAGATGACTTATGGTTTTGAACAAATCTCTATTCATTCATTCCCCTTGTAGTCTGGCATCATTCACTTAATATTATAAGGGTAGAGATTTCAGCTGAATGGCACTCATGATGAGAAATCACATTTTAATTAAAAAGTCTGGCCCTTCTCAGCAGATTTTCTGAGAAAGGATAGTTGCAAAACAAATGAATACAGATATTGATCTCCAGAAAGCTGTGAATATATGGGATTTCATTATGGACTATGTAGGGGATGTAAGTGTGTTTATGTATGCATTTCTTTGTTTGGGTTTACGAACATCTACTTAAGTGCATAAGATGGGTAAAAATTTCATTACATAAAAAGCTTTCTTCATCCACCTAAGTAATGATTATAGAATAGGCTCAGAAGATACCTCCATATTTTGAGAGAACGGGTCTTTCGGGTCACAAAGTGATGAAGATATTCGGTGGTTCCCACGGAAACAGCGCTGACTGATGTTCTGTGGTACAGGAAAGCTCTGCCGAATAATTGTTAATCTTCCAATTGACTTTCTCACCAGATCCTGTACGTCCCCATCATTGATTTCCTGTAAGATAAAGCGCAGAATATTTGGAAAACTAAAAATACCTGCTGTAAAGTATAAGGTGTGGGATACACTTAGTATAATAAGATGAAATATCTATCAATATCCAAAAAGCTTGTGCTTTACAATTTTTTTAAAGCAGGGTGTCAAACTCAATTTCACTGAGGGCCGCATCAGGGTTATGTTTGACCTTGGGGGGCTGGGTGTTTGTGGCCAGGGTGGGCATGGCCAGCTCAACGTCACTCATCAATGCTCTGTTTTCAGCCATGATGGCCTTCTGCAGCCCTCTGTCAGCAAAGACAGAGCCTGGGCAGGCCATGCGTAGCGTCCATTTGAGCTCCATTTTGTCTGGCAGAGGGTTGTAGGAGGCCGTCGTGGCTGAAAACGGAGCCAGGGAAGGCCACATGCAGCCCTCCTGAGCTCTGTTTTCGCTGGCAGAGGCACCGTGGGCTGGTCCTTCATTGTTTCCGGGATGGGCCCGTAGGCCAGATCTAAACACCCTGCGGGCCGGATCCAGCCCATGGGTTTTGAGTTTGACACTCGCTGATTTAAAGCTTAATGGAAACTATAGCCAAGAAGAACCCAAAGGAAATTCACTTTATAGTTTATTTAATTTTTTTTCATATGCAGATATGAAGGCAAAGAAGCAAAATAAGCAGGAGAGATACTATGCACACTGAAAGCAGAGAGAGAGAGAGAGAAGACAGAGAGAAAGGATAAGATGATGAACAAGACAAGTCTCTTCTGTGACAGAGCATACAGGACAAAGTAATGTCAGAGCATTTCCATCTCCAAGGACAATATATGACGGATCTCAAACTGACTGTTTTGAAAAACAACAACAGTTTAAAGGCAGTGCTGAAGAATTAATCGCTGAATAGAAAAAAGTTTCAGGTAATCTCAGATGGCTTCAACAACCACAATAATTTTTAATACTTTACTATTATTAATTGATAAGATTGTTGTAATCTATTTTATATTGTATGTAATATGCATTTCGATTAAAAAAAAAGCCCTATCTTCCTCTCCTTTTCCACCTCAACCCAATTTAAATCCTGCATCAGTCCAGATGGTGATAAGTCTTCTTCCTTAGATTATTGGCACAAAGGTACTTTGGTTTACCACATTTAAAAAAAACAAAACACAAGAAAAAAAAACACAGGAAAAAGTAGAAAGCTTTCTGAGGGAAAAACAATCTTGGAGTTGTCTTGTACAATGGAAGTACACTAACCAGTGGTGGGTTCCTCCCGGTTCGGCCCGATTCCACTGAGCCGGTAGTGGTGACGATATGACATCACCAAACCGGTTCTGCCCCCCCGCCCCCCCACCCCCACGTTATTCTTATCTTTTATTTGGCCCCACCCCCAATCTATTGCTGCCTCCTGAGTCCCAGCTGATGGCTAGAGGGAAAAAAACTGTTTAAACTCTTGCTGTGGGGCTTCAAAGGGCTGCCCTACAGCTGATCAGTGTTAAAAGAAAACAAATGGGTAGACCGGTGCCTGCAAAAATACATGAGTAGATTGGTACAGCTCTGCAAGCAGTTAAAAGCGTGGTAGACCAGTACCTCCGCTAAATCCTAAATAATTGTCACATGACCATCAAGCCACACCCACAAAATAAGCCACGCCCACAGAACCGGTAGTAAAAAAATTTAGAACCTGCCCCTGAAAATAACCCAAAGAGATAAAAAATGCTTGAGATGATCTCACATGAATAAGTGTGGTTTGGAAACAGAACAAAATCTGTCTTGATTTCACTTTGATAGTATGCATAGGATTAAAACAGGATGGTGTTATCACTTTTTGTCCTCCAAATACAGTTGGCAGGACAGTTGGGCAGTAGGAATAAGGTCAGTGGTGAAATGCAACTGGTTCTATCCAGCTTGGGCGAACTGGTAGCGCCAGCTGCAGGAGGCTCCGCCCACCCACCCAGACATCATCACACCCGTTTTTGACTCTCTGCGCATGCGTGGCGAAGTCAAATGTGTGCGCTCACATTTGCGAACTGGTAGCGAAGGTAAATGGATTTCACCCGTGGAGAAGGGCTGATTCAACGAAAAAGATGATATGTGTTCACTGACTTGAATTATAATAAAAATAATAAAGGTGAGATAGAAATAAATTCTTGATAAGAAATAAGAAAATGTTCAAAAAGCTGTCTTTAAGGTACCAGTAAGAGAAGTTTTATTTCTAAACTATAGAAAATGATAGCTTCCTACTATTCTGTATTGATCAGATGAAGTCTCGAGCATTTTGTTTAGGTCTGGGTTTTAAGAAGGATTTTCAAGAAGGACTCAGAGATACCTCAGCAGATTCAGAAAGGCAGTGAAGACGATCAGGGACAAATTAAGATTTATGAAGAGAAATGGAAGTAATTGGGCATGCTTAGCCTTGAAAAGCAAAGACTGAAGGGAGATGTGATGTTGCCTTTCAAATATCTGAAAGGACATCATGAAAAAGATATGAAGTCTTTTCATGACTAGGACATGTATAATAGATTTAAGTTGCAGAAAAGCAGTTTCTAACTGAATGTTACGGAAAAGAGAAAACCTTCCTACCAGTTACAGTGGCTTAATCATAGAACTAGCTACCTAGTAAAGTTGTTATTATTATCAGTGTTGTTACAATAGTCAGGATGCAAAACAATGCAAGTGCAAAACATAGTTTGGCTTGCCAAGTCAACAGCCCTGTTGTAGGACATGCTTGCACACTTCCCAAGGTGCATCACAGGGGGGCAAGTTGGCTTCACACCAGAGAGAAAGACGAGGGATTCTTCCTGCAGGGTCATCCAAGGCCACCTGGAGCTGCCTTGCAAATGGGCATTTCCCAGAACTGGGAAGGTTCAGAGCCATCAGGAATCTGACTGCCTACACAGAGCATCAATTTATCTCCTCACTGAAATGGTACCTATTTATCTACTTACATAAAACATGCTTTCAAATTGTTTGACAGACAGAAGCTGAGGCAAGAGACGGGAACTCATCCTGCCATGTGGTACTAAGACTTGAGCAGCCAGAGCAGAGACAATCTCTAGTGTCATTAAGCTACTAAACCACACCTCTAAACCTAGTGAGTACTGGGCTGCTTTTTACAGAACATTACCAGTCAGACCTGTTCCTTTACTATAGTCTTTTATTTGCTTTTTGATATTTTAAAATAAATAAAAAGTGTTTTAAACCCCGTCCCCTGCCCTACTTTAACTTGGATTCTGAATAGATCAAAGGGTTAATCAGAAAACTTATTCAACCTATTTAGATTTTTTTTTAATTTTGGCAGGGAAGAACATGATTAAGTCCCATATTAATTCATGACAATCTTTGTCCACATCTATGATGCTGAAGGTCCATCTTTTATATAAAAAAAAATAATGCAAATAATCATATGTAAGAAAATAACCAAAAGACTGGCTGTAATTCAAAGTTACTTTAACATTTTCTTAGCTGATTATATAAATATAATTTATGAAAAATGGATATAGATTAAAGTATAAATAATGATTAATGTTGCTACTTAAACATGCCTATATTTAAATTTTCCACAAGTAGGTCAGATGTAATACTATGCCTTTATTTCTTTAATGGTCCAGCAATAAATGTGAAGAGCCATGAATTTTAAACATAAATCATCTTGACTACATTAAGTCTATTTTATTCTTCTTCATAGACTGTCATAGACTTCTGAAGCCATCTGTTATTTTTGTTCTTTATGAAATATAGATTTTTCGGAAAACAAAATAACACCTGGCATCAGCTGTGTCCAGTGTAATATCCTGAATTTCTGGTCGATTAATCCTTAATGTACCATAGATAATGGTTTCTCTCAGCTTACAAAGCCGTCTTATCATTTAGTCTGTATCATTTCAAATAGCCACAAGATGGAGAGCAAAGTGACCAGTTTTTACAAAATATAAACCGTTTTTATGGAGCAGCAATATAATTAGAGATGAAATTTTCAGAGAATTTATTAGTCATTTTACAAACCAATTCAACTGAAAAGAAAGTGATTAAAAGTATATATAATATTGAGAAGCAGATATTGACTTGGCTATGAATGGAAAAGCAAATTTTTAAGAAAGTCGGATAAATGAAGGTGAATATAGGTGTCCCAGGATAATGTTGCAGGATCCAATCTGGGTCGGTCACTGGGGCCAGAAGTTTTGTATTCCAAGCTTTCGGACTAATCCTAAATTTAGCCGTTCCTATTGATGTAAAACTTTGAGGATGGATAGGTGAATATATATTTATTTATTCATGAATCAATTAAATAATACATTAGGCCTGAGACTCCTTAACTGGGAGAATAGCTCCAACAGATTCTAGGAATAATTTCAGAGCTATCTGTTTAGAAGAGGGCAGTGTTAGGAGCAGCTAAGATCCTACACAGAACCCTCAATCTCTCAGGCCTCTGGTAGAGAACTCAAGACTGAGGAATACCACCTATACAGGTGAGAAGGAAAACAATCCACCTCAGCTCTCCACGGGACAACTGTTAACACATGAAGCTGTTTATGACATTCTTAATTTCAGCATGATTCTTCTCCCTTTACACCCTAGATCAGGGGTGTCAAACTCAATTTCATTGAGGACCGCATCAGGACTGTGGTTGACCTTGGACGCTAGGCAGGCATGGCCGACTGTGTGAGTGTGGCCAACTGGGTGGGTGTGGCCAGCTTAACACCACTCCCCAAATTGCTGGCATGTTTCCTCTTCGCACTGGGTAGACCAGGCCACAGCCACATTGGCCCGATGTGTCCTCTTTGCATTGTGTGGACCGGGCCGAAGCAGTAGGGCCGGCCTCTGATATTTTCCAGGACAGGTCTGGGGGCTGGATCTGACCACATCTGGCCCATGGACCTTGTGTTTGACACTCCTGCCTAGATATATCCACCAGGATCTAAAGAGTCACAGCCTCTTCCACTTGTACTTCTGTACATTTTCCAGGGTCCTTGTCCAAGCTGTCTTTGAGGCTTCTAAGACACACATGTCCTCTTCCCTTAACAAGAGC